AGCACATTTTCTTTATAAGCATATTTTTTAAAAAACAAACTATTATTGAATATAATAAATTTGACCTCTATAACTGTTACACTTCTCTACAATCACACATTTTTGTATCCCAAGTGTGTGATTATAGAGAGGTTTGACTGTATTATTGAATATAATAAATTTGACCTCTATAACTGTCACACTTCTCTACAATCACACATTTTTGTATCCCAAGTGTGTGATTATAGAGAGGTTTAACTGTACTAGTAACTAATATAGAAAATTTAGCTAATTCAGATGATAAAAAATTTCTACCTGATATAGCTGAAATTATCAATGACTCCACATTTTGGACTGATTTAAAAGAGTTAGATGAAATTCTTCTTCCATTTTGTGCAACTCTTAATAAACTCCAATATGAATCAGTATGCTTATATAATATTATATATGCATATGCATGGATAGTTAAAACTGTACAAAAAAAACCTGATTTACCATTTTGCACATATATGCTATTACATTTGGAGAGATGTTGGGATTAATAGAAACAGCCACTTCTTATATTATCTTGGTTACTTCATCCAAGTTATAGTTTAAAAAAGCTTAATGTTCACTTAAATGGTTTATTGGCACTAATGCTTGGTAAATATGTAGTTTATTATTATACAAATTGGTTTTCTGTAAGACCAGAAAGTATTTTATTAAAACTTGAAGATTTTTTGACAAATAATTTACTATTCGATACTATTTTTTTTAAGCAATTTCATAATGATATAATTAAATATTAGTTCTTTATTGAATATGAAACTTATAAAGAACTTGCAAATCTTGCACTTCACTTATTTGAAATTTGTATTAATAGCGCTTCTGTTGAGAGATTATTTTTAACAATGGGATTTTTCTATAATAAGTGAAGAAGTAGACTTGAGGTATGTTATTAAATAAGTTATAGCATTATAAAATACTTTTAATCTTGATAGTACTATAATTTTTTAAAATATTGCATATTAGAATAAAATTTTGCTATATTTAAAATTAACTTG